TCACCCCTACATGCATTTTCCAAGAGCGCCACACATCAAACTCCCCTCCGCTCCTCTGGACCTGCCACAGGCACACGCTTCTGTAAACGCCTGGCTTTCTCTGGCTAGAATCTTCGAGCCCATTGGCATCCTTCAAGGTCCTATTCCCTCGACTAATACAAATGCTGCTGCTATTTTACTTCGAACAAACTTCTTTCTAAAATGGGCTTGCGGCAGCTTACCAACTATACACATGCTGCAACTAGACAATCAGGCAAAACCCCCTGTGAGAAGCTGAGCACTCGACATCTTGGTCCCCAGGGCTGGCACTCATCTGATCAGAGGGAGGCCATAAGACTGGCCCCACGTTTTCTGCTCTGGGTGCTCGCAGCCAGTTCTGCGTGACCACACAGTGGCATTTCCGTTCTTTTTTGCAAAGTGTTCGCCCCCCTCACTGGACATTCCTAACCGGCACATATAATTTCTGACTCATCTGTCTCCACCCAGCATGCAGAATATGACTCAGCACAGGACTGGTGCTCAGCAGACATTTGTTGAATGAATGTCATCATGGACAGGGATGGCCTACTGTTCTGACATTATCCTCCTGAAAAATGATACGGCTAAAATAAACGACAGAGTGAAGATTCGAATCTCAGACTGTCCACTGCTCTTCCGACTCTGCAGGCCATTCCCCACCTTCCTCATCACTGTGTGTGCAAATACCCCCAACTCCTCCTGGTTTAAAGGACCCCCTTTTCCAAGGAGCAGCCCTGGTTGTGGAGTGGTTTACATGCTGGGCTGTGATCTTCAAGAGCAGCAGTTTGAAACTACCAGCCGCTCGGTGGGGGAAAGATGGGGCTTTCTACTCCTGTAAAGAGTTACAGTTTCAGAAACCCACAAGGGCAGTTCTGCCCTGTCCTATAGGGTCACCATGAGTCAGAACTGACTCGATGCCAGTGAGTTTGGTTTGAGTTTTCTTCTCCAAGAAGCCTTTCCTGCTCATCTGGGAGGGAACGAAGCCTGAGCCGAAAGCCCGGCCTTCCACCTAATTTAGGGAGAAATCTGGACCGGAGATGGTACCTTGCCTGGGAGCTGAGCTCAGCATGGTCTGTGCAGGCACTCTTCCCAGATGGTGCTGTGAGAGGCACGGCCCCCTCTCCCCACCCCGCTTCCCTCTAGGTGGGGCCCAGTCTTCCTTGCCTTTCCCTTTCTTCTTTAGGATCCAAAGCTTTCCAGCCCTTATCATTCCAAACGGAAACCCAAACTATCCTCACACCCACTCCCGTCTTCCCTACCTACCTGAACTGTGTTCAAAACATCCTTCTCTGCGAAGAAATAGTGGTCCTTTAGGACAGGGCAGAACTCCTCCTGTGGGTTTCCAAGACTGTAACTCTTGGCAGGAGTAAAAAGCCCCATCTGAGCTCCCCCAGTTTCACGAGGGAGGAGGAGAATCCAGCTCCACGCCAGCCCAAGGTTGATCCCTCTGAGGCCGCAGGTGGACATGCCTCCATCCTTCAAACTCATAGTTACCCTACTGATTAGGCCTTGTATTTTTAGCCAGTTATTGACCACTAGGGTTGGTGAACCCCATTCTCCTCAAACACATTAAAATAATTCTAAGCCTCATCTTTCTAGGAAGCATGGCTCCATGGTTAAGCACTGGATTGCAAACCAAAGGGTGGCAGTTTGAACCCACCCACAGCTCTCTGTGCGAGAAAAGTCTGACCATCTGCTCCTATGAAGGTGGTCCAGCTGTTGTTAGTTGCCACGGAGTTAGTTGCCACAGAATGAAACACTAGTGGCCCATGTGGTCTTCAGAGCGGTTGCTGATAGCTGAGGCCGTGAAGACTACTGTCTAGGAAGCTTTCTGGGGGTTCTTTTTTTTGGTTTTTTAAATTCTTTTATTATCTGGGGGTTCTAATAGCATGCAGGGCCCCGTATCAGTTGGGACCTTAGTTACCTAATGCTGCTCTAACAGGAATAGCACAAGTGCATGGCTTAGAACAGAAATTAATTTTCTCACGGATTAGGAGGCTAGAAGCCTCAAATCAGGGCAACAGCTTTATAGGAAAGCTTTGTCTGCTCTGAGGGAAGGTCCTTGTCTCCTTTCAACATCTTTGAAGACCACTGACGATCTCCATGTGACAGGCCATTAACCTTCCTGTGGATCTAGGAGGTTCTCAGCGCTGGGACTCCAGATCTAAAGGATGTGCTGTACGCAGTTCTTCTCACTTGGTGGCATCAGCTGCCTCCCGTCTCTGCTCATTTCTCGCTCCCATTTTATTTCTTGTAAAAGGTGTGACTCAGCAAGGATCGTGACTTAATAAGAGTGAAGTGTGACCTAAGTTTGTGACCCTAGACACAGCCCCACTCTATCCCTGCCTCACCATTAAGGATAGTTTACAAAATGGAGGTTAACCATATCATATCACACAGTGGAAGTCAACCACACAATACTGGAAATTATGGCCTAGCCAACACTTCACAGATTTAGGGGAGAACCAATTCAATCCATGGCAGCACACAGGAACAAAAATCGCCTGGCTCTTCACCTATAGGATTACTTTTGGGGAGTCTTGAGAATAGGAAGAGAAGACCACCATCTTCCCCTATGCCCCACCCCCAACCAGACAAAGCACATGGTCTCTAAACCCATGACAGAGCTGTGGTCCCAAATGTTGCTGGGGTGGCGAGCCCCGGTCCCTTCCCTTATAGCTTCTTTCAAGCCTCCAATCTACCCTTTGCCTTTCTTTCAAGCCTCCAAGTTCCCCCCACTCACTGCCATCCAGTGGATTTTGACTGTTAGCTCCCCTAGCCTCCTTCATCGTAACACAGAAGCTATTCTATAAATTGTATTGAACAATTCCCCCAGTAGCACAACCATCCTTCCTGACATGTATCCTACATCTAGTTTGAAACGCCTGATAAAGAGTTGGTCACCAAAAGATATCATCGTTGCCCCTATGACCATTCACTTCAGTACTCCAAGAATACATGGACTCATAGATGTTATCACAAGGTACCCTGGTGGCGCTGTCCGGTACACACTGAACTGCTCACTGTCAGGTTGGTGGTTCAAAACCAGCAGCTGCTCTGCAGCAGAAAGGTGAGGCTATCTGTTCCCATGAAGATGGATAGCTGTAGAAACTCTATACAGGGTTGCTATGAGTCGAAATCAACTCAGCAGTGGGGAATGTTATTCCAAGAAACACTCAATCTTCTGAGTCAGATGAAAAACCAAACCCGGCATGATTCTGACTCACAACGATCCTATTAAACAAGAGTAAAACTGCACCATAGTTTTCCCAAAGCTGTAAACTTCCCTGTGGGGCAGCTGGTGGGTTCCAACGGCCAAGCTTGATGTCAGCAAAGGAGGGCTTAGGCACTCAGCCAGCGCTGAGTGGGTACAGAGACCACATTCTTCACTGATTCCTGCTCCAAAAGATTACCCATTCCGTTTACAGTAGCTACATCATAGGGGGGTTGCGATGAATTAAATAATCCATGCCAACTGTTTTAGCACCTAGGGCCCTGTACCTAGTAAGTGTGCAAATTTTACCAAGTCTCCTTTACATATACATTACCTCCTTTAACTCTCACGATGGTCCCGCGGGGACCTCATACCCCCACCCCCACCCCACTTACAGAAGCAGCACCCGGTTTGGAGTAAAGGCGCTTCCCCAAGGTCAGTAGTCAGCAGGGATCCCACGCTTTGCCCTGGGCCTCTGAGTAAAGGACCCTCCACCCTTGGGCCGGGTCTGTAGGCTCCTACAGGAGCGAAGTCTGGAAAAGCGCCCCGCACAGGGCTCAGCACCCGGCGGGGGCCCAGGATGGGGCGCCCGCAGCCCTGCGGGCCACTCGCACGCCTCCCCAGGGGCTCCTCTAGGCCGGGGGGGTGCCTGCCCGCCCCAGCGCCGCGGAATTGCCCCGAGGCCCGCGCCCCGGGGCTTCGGACGCAGCAGGCCCGGGCCCACTCACCGAGTCCCATCCCGGC